TGTGAGCAAGATGCCACTTCGGTACTTGCCACTGTGAGTCGTAAGGCTTTTTTCGGAGAAATTCCCGATAGGCGGTAATGAAGGATTTCCTTCAAGAAGCATGACTTACGAATATCTACTTTACCGTGTATCAGGAATATCTCCGAGAAAAACCTTATGACTGTCTAGGAAAAGCAAGGATATTTTCTTATGTAAAGATTGCAGTGATTGTCATTGGTGCGTTAACGGTTACACTGCTCACAGAGGCAAGTACCGAAGTGAAAACTGGGCCCATAATGAATTGTAATTTCCTCGAAGGCGCTGATGTCACGGAGTGCTACGATCCCAATGCGATATAGCCCGGATACTGTCCATTCTTCAGCTTGGCAATTTGGAGCGCAACTGTGATTTATGAACCGAGCAATATTGCCTGCGCGACCGGCGTCGATGTAAGTACCAGAAGAAGCATATTCCATAAGATATAGGCTGTTCTGTCGTTTTTTTCTTCTCGGCTTCATCAATGATTTCTCCAACATATTCACATACTAAAGCTTCCTTCGGTATCACTTCCAGCGAGAACACACCAAAACCCTTGCTGCCCGCATTTTCGATTTGGATATTAAATCGAGGTCCAGACCAGGGTCTGTTATCGCAATAACTTCCAATATTGCAGGTTGCGGGAGAGCACTGGACGCGACGCTGCCGGTTAATACATGATGAAGCGCACGCACGGGTGCAGTTGCATTTCTCTGGAGGCCATTCGCTGACAGCTAGACTCCCAATGTTCTCAGCGATAACAGCGAAAGAAGGAACGCGGACAGCGGCATCGAAGCAGGGAGATGAAGGCAGAAATGTATCCAACGTGGTCTGGACAAATTTACGTCGATGTGGCGGCCGCGACATTTTTTAACAATGGAAAGTATTCGTGTAAGCGAAGGGAGAAAATTTAAAATGTCGAATCTAGGAAATTTCTAAAATGTAGCGTCAGAACATATACAAGAAAGACTGAAGAAAACTACCAAACAAAATTCGTGAAGAACACCATTATAAAGCAAATCTAGCAGCTAAAGCAGAGCGAGCTCGAGACGGAGGAGCCTCTCTGTCTCTGCTAGGGCTTCGGGATCCGGAATGAAGTAGCTAAGATACTCGAGCGTGAGTTCTTCGGTAAGAATTAGTTCTGACATAGTTGTGACCCTGGTCACCGCCACGTAGAAA